TAACAAAGGTATATTTGTCTTTCGCGGGTTTGATCGCAACAAATTGTGACGCACCGCTGAATCTAATCAGCGTCCAAACAAAGTAAACGCTTGCCGCAGCATTTAGCCGCAGCGTCTGGTTGCTGCATCTGCGACAGAGAAACGAACAAAAAATGGTCGCATGCCGCAGTCGCAGTCGTTGGTGACTGGCAAACGAACATGCTTTAAATCATCACTCGCCACTAGACACATGTGTGTACTTTTTTTTACTGTTTCACAAATAGATTGCTTTATTTCGGTCTCCTTTTCCTCTCGACTTTGGGCCGATGGTTTCAAACTGATTCCTTTCTTAGATTTTGATTTTTTCTTTTTGTCACTCAACTACTTTCATTAAATAAACTTTTAAAACCGGTTCGATACAATTATGCTTAACGCATTTTTGGCTAACCCGTCAACAAAATATAAAGTCTCCTGATTCACAAAATGAAACGAAGTAAACTCAAAGTACGATGATAAAGTCCTGATATCAGCAATGACTTCGTGTAGATCTGAGATGCTAGTTTCTTCTTTGATTGCTGATATGAGTATCTTCGAGTCTGATTCGAAGGATATTCGCTTATACTGTAGTGAAATCGCGTGCTTCATAGCTGCTCACAACACTAATCCCTCCGCCACAAGGGGTGATTTAACAAAAGCAAAGGTTTGGGATTCAGATTTGTTTAATCCATCCCTATTTCTTAAAAAATTCCATACTCCTCCTGCCTCCTGAGTTTCACTCTTCCAGGCTGCATCGGATCGGCAGATTGATTTTTCTCTTGATCGTATTACATCGCCGTATGTTCGTCTCTGAATTGGCTTTTCCGATGGTTGAGCGGCGAGCCATTCTCGGGCATTGGCTATAGCTTTCATTGTTGTTTCCTGCTCGGTGAAACCTCTTTCTTGGAAAATCCGGTGATTTCGCGCTATCCAGATGGACCAAATCACCCAAGGTGCCAGTGACCCAGCTCCGATGCCTATTGGTAAAAGACAGATGGCTGTTTGAAGCGATCGCCAGCCCTCTACAAAGCTTTTGTACTCCGCCGCTCTACATTGGTCAGTAAAAGGTACCTGATTCTAGACTCTTTGCGCATAAGGGCATTCGAAAATAGATGAAGTATAGTTTTTGGTTCATTGCATAAGGTGCAGTTTCCTGATGGTATGATTTGTTTGGCTGCCAATCTTTCATTCACTGGTAGTGCATTGTGGTTAGCTTTCCATAAAAGCAGTTTGATCTTTGGTGGAGTCCTTAGGGTCCAGATATCACTTAGTCATTGAACTTGCTCCGGTTGTGACTCCACTTCGGTCCCTTTCTTGCCTTCTACTGAAACATAGTAGCCCGTTTTTGTAGTATACATACCAGTGTTCTTCTTGAGCCAGATTAGCCTATCTGGGGACCCCTCTTTTCTTGGTTTTATGCTTAGAATCGTAGAAGTTAGATGAGGAAAGAGTCTCTTTATTCTTTTCAATATCACATTCTCTTGAGTTGGCAATGAAAAGGTTTGCCACTGTAAAATTAGCACTCTCTGTGGTTGCAGGTCCCATAGGAACTTCATGCTTCTCGGTGGAGAGCCAAGCATCCTCCCAAATTTTTATTGTTTCTCCATTTCCAACCGCCCAGCCGAGTTCTTTAGCTAGAAGGTCTCTTCCAATGAGGATGCTTCTCCACCCATGTGAACAGCTGCCAGAAGGTGTTACATCCAAGAAGCTTTTATCCCCATAGTATTTTCCTTTTAGGATTCTTGCTAGGAGGCAATGCAGATTCATCAGCAGTCTCCAGCTTAACTTTGCCAGCAGCGCGTCATTGAAGCTCTGTATATCTCTGAACACGAGTCCTCTTGCTTTCTTAGAATTACTCATCTTGCTCCCGGAGATCCATGACATTTTCCTCTCGTATGGTTTCGCGTCGCACCAGAATCTTGTCAGAACTGACTGGATTATTTTACAGAGTGATGCTGGTAGCTTAAAACAAGTCATAGCATAGCTCGGCATCGATGATAGGACGCTTTTTAGAAGCACCATCTTTCCTGCTACGGATAAGAATCTTGTTGACCAGCTTATTGACTTTTGCCTTATTCTGTCCACTATTGCTGTGAACATGTCTTTCTTCTTTCTCCCAAAATGCTCTGGCAATCCTAAATACTTTCCCACCCCTCCTTCATTTTGGATATGTAGCGTTCTTTTAACCTTCTCTTTTAGTTCCAAACATGCTTTCCAGGTAATGGCCGACTTCTGTTGATTTATCCACTGTCTCGAGGCCTGTTCATACTGCATCAAAATAGTTTTTAGAGCTTCCATACTTTTCTCATTTGCTCTAGAGAAGAACATTGTATCATCCGCAAACAGTAAATGGTTAACCCTCGGAGCTCCATTTGCCACTCTAATCCCCTGAAGATTTCCTTCCTCTTATGCTTTTAAACATAGTCCCGAGAGCACTTCAATAAAGATGTATGGAAATAGAGGGTCCCCCTGGCGGATTCCTCTCTTTGGTTTAACTCTTCCTCGGGCAGAGCCATTAATTAGGAAGGATAAAGACACCATGCTTATGCATTGCATGATCCAGTTTGTCCATCTTGGATGGAAGCCGAGTCTCTGTAGCACTAATTCAATAAATCTCCACTCTAGCCAATCATACGCTTTGCTCATGTCAGTCTTTACGACCATAGAGCAGAGTTTTGATTCTTCTGATGTTTTTAGGAAATGTAACACTTCGTGAGTGATGAGCACATTGTCTGATATTGCTCTTCCAGGTACAAATGCAGATTTATTTTCTGATACAAGGTTCTCTAGCACGGGTTGGAGTCTTCTAGTTAGTAGCTTAGAGATTATTTTGTAGTAGACGTTGCATAGCGCAATTGGTCTGTAATCTGCTACTTTCCTTGGTCCCTGAATTTTTGGTATCAGCCTTATGTGTGTATCATTGATGCTTCTTGGTAGGACCCATGATGAGAAGAAATCACAAATCTCTCTCACAATATCTTTGCCTATAACATTCCAATTTGGTTGAAAGAAGCTTGCTGAGAAGCCATCGGGCCCAGGTGCTTTATCCGCATGTATAGAGAATAGGGCTTCTCTAATCTCTTTTGTCGTCGGGTCCATGATTAGCTTTTTGTTCATCTCCTCCGATATCAAAGGTTTTAGGGTCGAGGCTACGATATGCTCTCCATCTCTATCTTGTGAGGTGAACAAAGTTTTGAAGTACTTGACAATGGAACTTGTTATTTCCTCTTATTTGAACACCGTTGTACCTTCCTCGACTTCAATAACGGTGAACAAATTCATTCCTTTTCTACCTTTTGTTGTAGAGTGGAAATATCCCGTATTTTTATCTCTTAGGCTGAGCCATAGATTTCGGCTTCTTTGCTTCCAAAACTCTTCCAAAACTCTTCCTCCCCTAGGTAGGCTTCCTTAAGCTCTTTGTTTATTTGATTCAGCAGAACAGCATTGTTGTGGGGGCTTACCATTGCCTCTTCTAGAGCTTTTTTCTTTTCTTCTATGAGTACTCTGCTGTTTCTCTATTGCTCTTTGTTCCAGTTCACGAGGGCTCCTCTCACTTTTGCAATATGGCGTTCCACCGGTTTCTCTCTTTCCTCTTCCCAAGTTTCCTTAATAAGTTGTTTCACTTCAGGGTTATCCTTTATCCTTCTGTCAAAGCGAAACAGCCCCTTTCCTTTTTTCCATTCTGTATCAAAGCTCGTGATAATAGGCTTATGATCGGATCCTTCAAAGTTAAGGTATTCGGTGTGACCCGCATGGAAATCTTCAAACCAGGAGCCGTTAGCAATGGCACGATCTAGTATGCATCTTACTACTTGGTCTCCTCTCACACCTCTCCAAGATAGGAAATCTCCGGAGTGTTTGATATCATAGAGATCCCACTCTGAAAAGAAAGATCGTAGATCCACGAAGGTTCCCTCTGCTCTTATAGTTCCTCCTGACTTTTCCTGGTTGCTTATAATATCATTAAAATCGCCCGTAAGGAACCAAGCAGCATCTCGAGTAGTAAACGGGTCTAGGAGCTCTCTCTACAAATGTCTTCTTTTGCTAGGATCATTGTCTCCATAAATAAAAGTAGCCAAAAAGATTTTATTTTCATAAGTAACTCTTGCGTCGACATAGTTTTGACAAGAAGATAAGACGCTTAAATTGAGTTCTTGCTTCCAAAATTGGGCCAAACCCCCTCCTCCGTGTCCCTGGGGATGATTTGGATAATCCAACGAATCAAATTTTGGGATAACAAAATCGTTGGGATTCTTTGTTTCTGAGAAGAATTTATATCAGGGTTTATACGTTTCCGTATCTCTCTTAAACGATGAAACGTCAAGGGATTCCCCAAACCTTGACAATTCCAGCTTGCTATTTTTAAAGAATTATTTTGGATGGATTTTGAAAATCCATCTTCTGCTTTGTAATCGCAGGAATAATTTTGCATACAGGAGGTTGTCCTGTGAAATTTGTCACCTCCAACGGATAGAGCTCTTCGACGATTACCCCGTAGTTAACCGTCTTTCGGGAAGGTTTTGTCTGAATTACTCTTCTTTTTCGTGAGTTTGTTCCGCTTAGAGAAGATGCTGCTTTAACCCCTTTCTTCTTAGTCCTTTGTTGGGGGTCTCCCCAATCTCTTTTTTGCAGATACTCTTGAGGGTACCTCAGCGGTCTCTAAAACAGGGACTTCACTTAAAGGCGTTGGCCCAAGCCTTTGATTTTGATTATCTTCCAAGATCCTATCATACTTTAGATTTTGTTCATGCCTAAACCGTGATGTAAATAATAAATCTTAATTGATTTCCTCTGACTCTGTTTCTTATCATTAAAAGCTTAGTAACTTTTTTTTTGTAACGTTGCATTTACATTGTTAGGAAACATATAATATGTTTATTTTTGTCACATGTATTTTAAACTCAATTTCGTTTTTGAGTATATATGAATAGAACAATGATATTGTCAAGACATCGTTCGAAGCATTTGATACGAAAGATTTGAAACGGGGACTGTGCAAAAGACGGTGCGAAACAAACAGATTGGTTTTATTATGATGATTGGTGACTATGGTGAACTGGTAAGTGATAATGCCTCATCGGTTATCATAATTCATAAGTATAGACAACAATGGGACTTCTCACGTTATGTGTTCCATCAGACCAGATAAGATTTGCAGACGAAGGCAGTTCAGAATCGAGATCGCTGCCTGAAACAGTCACCGTGAAAGACTGCTTCTCATTCATTGACTTCATAGATAGCACACTAGGCGTGACCTTGACTTTGAGCTTAGATCCGTGATTTAAGACAATCTTTGATTTGTATGTAGAGTTAGGGGTACCAAGGTTGGTGACGGTTCTTTTAAAATTCACGGTAAAGGAGCTATTAGACGCCGGGATCTTAGCCGACATTGAAGGATAGTTGAGGTTTCTTGGTAAAACTGTTCCACTGCAAGTGACTGCTTCACCAGAAATGAGTTTAAGGGTTTCTGAAGTGTAGTTCAATCCGCAGAGAAAGGCAATGTGGTCTGCTTTGACCAGTTCATAGACAAGTCCAGGATTTAGAGCGGCTATTGGGTCCACATGTCCAGCTCCATAAGCAAACTCGGTCGATGCATAGCCAGTTTCAGAAGCATTCATTGGCCAAGCTGCAAAGATCATGTAAAATGACTGTATAAGAACAGAGGTTACTTGATTGACAAGAAAGTAAAAGCTGGATATGATTATTTTTGTTTACCGGTTGTCATGATGGCAGATTGGATCATGGAAGGAGACCATTCAGGATGAAAAGTCTTGATGTACGCAGCGACTCCTGCAGCGTGCGGACAAGACATTGAGGTTCCAGAGAGAACAGAGTACTTGACATGTCTAGTGTCATCTCGAGACGGTTCAGCATCAGGTGAATAGGCAGCGAGGATCTCTATTCCCGGTGCTGTTATATCCGGCTGCATATCCATCAACCAACCTTTATCTTTCGCATTGGTAAACAAAACAGAACAAATATCAATTTATATGTTACCTTTAGAAGGTCAACAGCGATGGTGTTTGGACCGCGAGATGAGAAAGAACCAACTGTAGGAGCTTTCTGATTAAAAATTGCCTCAGTTTTTAGAAGAGTGCCTTGTGGATGGGACCTGAGGAAACAAACACAGAGATATCAGGACAAAGAGGGAGAATCCAGAAAGAGTATGAGAAAGAGAGAAGATTGTTTGTTACTTTGTGGAGTTAACGTAAGAGGCAAGAGTGTCAAAGTCATCATTGATAGAGCAGAGAGGGGCCTAGGGCAAACGGCTGCAAAGCCTTGACGGTCTCTAGTTATGGTTGCAACAGCTATATCTGAACTAGATGAATATACGCTCACCAATATTTCTTTCTTTTTCTCGGCGTAATCTCCGTACACAAGTGGATAATTCTTTCCTTTCATATCAAAAGAGTTCACTGATTTCCCCTGTTAAGGACAAAAAACACAAAAGGGGACATAAGATACAATGATGATAAGAATGAGAGTGTTACTTGGTACTTACGACAAGTGTGCTTCCGTTTTTGAGAACAATTTTGGTGATGAACGCACGGTTCGTGGTGCTGGCTGCAACGGTTAAGATCCATGGTGCCACGCTTCCAATCATGGCCGGATCCGGACCGCTGTTACCGGCCGAGTGAACAGTGAGAATCCCTTTGGTCATAGCGTGAAAAGCCCCGATTGAAAGCGTGTCCTCTTCGTACCTGTCGGGCGATCCGCCGAGGGAGACGCTGATGAGGTCAACACCATCTGCGATCGCGTCATCGAAAGCAGACAGTATAGCATCCGAGGTACATCCGTCCTCGGTGCATACTTTGTAAGCAGCGATTCTAGAGGCTGGAACGCCGCCTCTTACCGTTCCATTGCCGATTCCAAAGAAACTTGTGTTCGCGACTGCATTTCCAGCCGCAGTGGACGCTGTGTGTGTACCGTGGCCATGATTGTCCCTAGCTCCTTCGCTTGTGTAGTCTCTTGCTCCGATCAATTTGCTGTAACATTGTAAACACGATCAATCTCTTCCTGAAACGATACTATATCTTTCTATTAGACAAGTGTGAAGAACATTACTTGTTGCAAGTGAAGTTTTTACCGCCGGAACAAACACCTTTCCACTTCTTAGGAGGAGGACCAAAGCCTTTGTCGGAGAAGCTCTCCGATTCCGGCCAAATCCCGGTGTCGATGACGCCGATGATAGTATCACTTTCTACGGCCAAGTTTCGCTTTGTATTATTTCCTTCTTTTAACCCCATGAAATTCCAAGACGCAGTCCAATGGATTTGTAACTTCTTGCTCGGGAACACAGAAACAACTCCTTCCATTTCTAAGAGAAACATAATATGGTTTTGATTAGTTATATATTCTAAAACCATACGTCAACAGAATTTTACAAGAAACACTGTTAACTCTTTTTTAGTTTCCAACCAATTAGCAATTAGTGTATTAGTCTAAGTTTCTAATACATTAGTTAATATCCTTTCTAACTATCGATATCATATTCTTTAGAGACTAATGCCATATGGCCCATTAATTACTACTTAGTCCTAATAAACACTCACCAGCGATTCTTTCTCGCTCTGCCTGAGTGAGTTGGGCCGCGAATCCGTTGAAACTCCTCTTGTAACTTCTCACCAAACGACCTTCGATCGAACTATAGGATATACATGTGTGTGCGTTACTTGTTAGAATCTTCATAATGTAAACTAATCAATGATTTGAGAATGAATAAATAAAAATCACACCTTTCTCCGGTGACCTCTTGAAGAATACTCATGTGATGCGACATTGGTGTGTATTCCAGTCGAGACGGTAGTGAACCCATGTAGACAACATACACCTTCATGGATTGTATGTCATCATCATTCACTGCATAGATGTAAACAAAACAAAAAAACAAAAAATTTAAAAAATGGATATATGTAGCCATATAATATACTTGTTTATGTTGACCATCATCTGTGACTGCCGAGACTGAACTTAAGCACAAGACAACGACACATGAGAGGAGACAAAAGGAAGCTGCTAGCTCTGCCATCGTTTTACTTAATAAATGATTTAATAAAGGTTACTCTAATTTCTTAAGTTCTGTATATGAAGATAAATATGATAAAATGTTAATATATATAGTAAAAAATTATGCATGAAGTCCTGAACCATGTCAAGAAAACAAATCTTAATTAAAGTCCTTTTACTTTGATTCGTATTACCATATATACATATCAAATGATATGTTGACCAAGACTTTTTTCTTATCATTGTATCTTACGTATTTAGGAAACATATCTATGGTTTAAGAGAATTTTTTACATTAAGTTTGAAATTAATTTCTTTCTGGTTTTTACTTCTTGCTGTAAACCAAAATGTTGTATTACACTTGATTATTTCTCGTTCGTTTTGTACTCTATAGTATTCTTTATTTTCATTTGAAATATAATTGACATACTAAGTGGTTAACCTACATATATACCGATATACCTATATAAATTTATATAGACATAATTAGTAATATTTAAGTATTGTTTAATTTTTGCATATATTTTATAAATGTTATATATATATAATATGCAGTTTTAGTGATTAATAACAATCACACAAACATTTTTATATCATTTTGTGCTTTTTGAAACTGATTTATTTTAAAACTTATTATTTTTCTAACGTTTATAGTGACACATAATTACGAAATTTATATTAAATAATAATTAAGATTTTATAATATATTTTGAATATTATCTATACTATGATTTATTTTTTTCTTACACAAAATAATATTTTCAATATATATATTTTAAGTATATAATTTTTTTGACTTATTGCTAGTTAAACCAAAATAGGGTTTACTATTTTTTCTTATTCTAAAAGCGGGTAGATGGTTCGTCCACACATTCATGCGTACCAACCACCTCACCGCTCTTAGAATATATATATATATATATATATATATATATATTTAAATAAATATAAATTATTTGATAGCTAAAATTAAAATTAGATTATAATCGAGGTTAACATAATGCATGTACGACAAGTTCGCATGCGACTTCGACTTTTGCATAATTAATATTTATATCGAGATGCATATTTGTTGAAAAATCTAAGAATGACTTTTATATATTAAAAAAATATATATATATATATATATATATATTTATGCATGTAAGTATGGGTTGTAAATAAGTAAATTGTAATATTTATGTGTTGGTTAGTTTTTTCTGATATTTTTTATAAATGTTATGTTTTTACATGATGCAGTTCTTGGCGTTTAACAACAATCACGAAAATTGTTTCTATTATTTTATTTAATCAAAATTTATTATTTTTAGCGTTTTATGATATATGGTTTCAAAATAAATTTTCTATTAAATATTTACAAAAACTACAAACAAACTTAAAAAAAATCAAAATATAATATTGGACTTTATAATGAAAATGAGTATAGTACATTGAATAATCTATTATTAATTTTCTTTTTCAATAAAAATTACAATAAATATTTGTTATTTAAATTTATGAAATCATATTTTATAAAATTTTGTGCTACCTCTCCGCTAGTCTATTCGTCCAATGTTGAGGAATTGGTTGGATGAGAAAACAATTTTCTTATGATTGGCATGCACGCATGTGTTCATACATACGTTTATTATAAAATTTGCTTCTTCAGATTTTTAAATAACTCCATAAAACAAAGTGCGAGAGTTGTATGGAAAAATAAAACAATAGAGATTTATGTTTATTTTTACTTCTATTTTTTATTCATATTTGTTTTATCTTAAAATAATTTAATGTTTTTATCCGATTATTTTTTGTTTTATTTTTGATCTCAAACTCTTGATCTACAATAAAATTTTATATGAATATAATATATATATTTTGTTTAAAGAATGATAAGAGATAAAATGAGATGATAATGGAAGTTACATGAATTTTGAAAACAACAATATAAAAATATTAAAAAGAATATATACAAATAATAATATATCATACTCCTAATATTATTAATATATACAGTATTTACTATCTTATTGGATAATTTATTATTATTTTCTGTATAAAAATATAATATATATATATTGATTGTAAAATTTTTATAATTTTATATTAGGATATCATTGGACCAGAAATTTCAATAAAGATCAAAGAATTCTTCACATTGGCCTCCTTTCCTCCTCGGGTTAACGAAACTCATATTTGTTTAATCCCAAAAGTGAAAGCTCCGAAGAAAGTCTCAAATTATCGATCTATTGCTCTATACAATGTTTACTATAAGATTGTAGCAAAGATGTTAACGAAGCGCCTCTAACCGTATCCGTCTTTGATTATTTCAGAGAATCAGTCTGCTTTTGTTTCGGGTAGAATAATCTCTAATAATGTACTGATCACCCATGAAACACTCCATTACTTAAGAACATCGAAAGCTACTGGTAGAGGTTCCATGGCTGTGAAAACAGGTATGAGCAAAGCATAGGATCGCATCAAATGGGGCTTTCTATGATAAGTTTTGACTTCCTTTGGCTTCCATTATCAATGGATTGAATGGGTTATGGAGTGTGTCACTTCTATCTCCTATTCATTATCAATGGAGCCCCTCAAGTTTTAGTCACTCCATCTCGAGGTCTTCGTCAAGGAGATCCACTTTCCCCATACCACTTTATCCTATGTACGGAGGTGCTCTCCTGATTATGTCGAAGAGCTCAGGAACAAGGACGTTTGCCTGGTATTATAGTATCAAACAATAGCCCTCGTATCAACCATCTCCTCTTTGCAGATAACACTTCTTCTGCAAGATAGATCCCACTAGCTGCTCAAATCTGGCCGATATTTTTTCTTAAGTATGAGGCTGTTTCAGGGCAATTCATCAACTTGACTAAGTCCTCCATTTCTCCTCCAAAACACGAAGAGCCCAGAGAATCAGAGTAATGCATTAAAGATCCACCAATAAGGTGGAACAGGAAAAGAAGGCTTTGGTAAAAATAAGAAGGACCTCTTTACTTCAACACAGAAATAGGAACCGCTCGATATTGGGACTCCAATAATGATCAAGGGCTTTCGTTTCAAAGAAGACTACGTGGATCCCACGAATCACTTGAGAAAGCTGCCCTTTTAGCAACAAAAACTTGCCATGGAATAACTAATAGAATATACGCCTAGATCTCTTTTTCATTTCTGTAGATTGACATCCCTGGCCACACCCAGGCCCAACTAAACTAATTTAGTGCTCTTGCTAGTTGCTAGGTATTGACTTTTGATACATATGTGACCTCACCATTCACGATCCTTTCTTTCCTCAATAATTATGATAAGGGGCAAGTAAGGAAGCTTCCTGGGCTATAACCTACTGGCGGTTGTTGTGAGTGAAGAAAGGATTCTATGCGGAAGGGGGAAAGAAAGACGTACGGACCGGGAGAATGGTACTGTACTGGTTGCCTGGGAGATGGAACTAGAGTAGTTGGCTTTCTGGCTAGATATTGGCTTGTTGTTACGGTTAAAGGCAGCCCTTGATCCTAACCCTCACAAGATACATATGACTAGACTAGATATTCAGTGGAGCCAGCCTTATTCAAACTAATGTCACTATCAGCTACTGTTGTAATAGCCCTACTTGAAGCTACTTCAAGCTACTATTACTTGCTTGCAAGCCATCACAAGTCTTATAGCTGATCAGTCGAATCAGGTGCGGCAGCCGTTTAAATGCTTTTATGCCACCGTTCAGGCCGATAGGAGAATGAGGTAAGAGACTATGGGTTTTGCCTAAGGTGAGTAGCAGACTCTGGTTTTAGTGCACGTGTGGAAGGCAAATCTATTTAGCCAGCAAGCATAGGAAATAAATCCCCCTGGGAACTGGCTATTAATGCTAATCCATTAGTTATAGCTCGAAGTTTGCCCTTAGTTGTCTCGAAGTTAGCTGCTGGGCTTGAGTAGCTTGGGCAGTCTTAATGAGTAGCTTGACTTGCTTGCTTCACTTGTTGATTACCTATGTAAAAAAGTTGTTGGGATCGGTTTTCTGGGAGACAATATCGAGCATGATCCCTATCGAATCTGCCCTGGTCGATAGTAGAAGAGATGTTGAACACACTCTAAAACACCACACATATTTGGTGCTGGCGCAGGTGATAAACTCCCTACGGTGCAGACCTACTCTGTGGAGTATGCAGAACCAATGAAAAGCCAAACAGAAGTATGTAAATAACTGACCTGTCCGTTGAATGCACCATAGGAGGTAGGTCTGTCTTCCTTGTATAGTTCACCAATCGTGAGAGAGTTCCAACTCCACTTTCATGATATCATATGACCACCCCAATCACTACTATGATCCCGTGACGTAGTATTCGACACTAAACCCACCAAAAACTTAGTCTCCGAATATTTTTTTTCTGGTAGTCTTCCATATTTTGGTGTCAGAGAACTTTTGAGAGGAAAACTTATTTCATGTTTTCTCCCTGGCCATTTCACTGTTTGTTATATCGATTATGGGTTTTAGATGGCTAGTTTATCAGATTACACGGATGCTACTTATTCTCACATAAGATAAAGTTTTCCATGATAATAAACACCATATATAATGCGACCAAATAAATTCTATAAATAAATAAAATATTAAAATCATAATATTATTAATTTATAAAAGTTTTATGGTATAAGTTATTTTTTATATTAGTTTTTAAAATTTTATTTAAATTTATTATTTTAATGAACATTAGTTATTACAAGAATTTAATAATAAAATAACATAACACATAATAAAATCAAGTAAAAAACTTAAAATTAACAAAATAAATTAATGTTTTGTCCTAATTTTATGAGAAAAATGTTATTTTACTTATATATATAGTCTATAGATAGCCTATGGTTTTTTTTTTTTTTTTTTTTATAGCCTACGGTTGATTTAATTGGATCACTGATCCTTATAATGAGAAATGCTTGAACTATTTTTTGTGTGGTAGGATACATGGCTGAGTTTAATTCAAATAGATGCAAAACTCTTTGAAACGGTGGATAGACATTCAAACCAAAAATCTGGAATGAAGAAACACAACAACTATGGTGAACTGATAATGCCTCATCAGTTACCAACATTATAGACAACAATGGGACTTCTGACGTTATGTGTGCCATCTGACCAGATCAGACTCGCCGAAAAAGTCAGCTTTGGGCCGAGATTGCTGCCCGAAACAGTCACAGTGAAAGACTGCTTCTCGTTCACAGACTTCATAGATAGAACACTAGGGGTGACATTAACACTGAGTTTAGATCCTTGGTTTAAAACGATCTTTGATTTGTATGTAGAGTTTGGGGTACCAAGGTTGGTGACGGTTCTGTTGAAAACCATGGTGAAAGAGGTCTTAGATCCCGAATGTTTAGCCGACATTGAAGGATAGTTGAGGTTTCTTTGTAAGGTCTTTCCAGTGCAGGTGACGGCTTCACCGGTAATGAGTTTAAGGGATTTCGAAGTGTAGTTCAAACCGCAGAGAAAATCGATGTGGTCTGCTTTGTCCAGTTCATAGACAAGTCCAGGATTTAGAGCGGCTATTGGGTCCACATGTCCAGCTCCATAAGCAAACTCGGTTGATGCATAGCCAGTTTCAGAAGCATTCATTGGCCAAGCTGCAGAGATCAGATCAAAAGACTGTATAAGAACAGAGGTTACTTGCCAGACAAGAAAGTAAAAGCTAGATATGATTTTCGTTTACCGGTTGTCATGATAGCAGATTGGATCATGGAAGGAGACCAATCAGGATGAAAAGTCTTGACATACGCAGCCAGGCCTGCAACGTGTGGACAAGCCATTGATGTTCCGGAGAGAATAGAATAGTTCACACGTCTTGGGTCACTGTTTTCTGATGATGGTGAAGCCAGAGGTGAATAGGCACTTATGCAAGCAACGAGATTTTCGTAGAATGCTTGGTGTTTCTTTTGATGATTCTGCAGGAAAAAGAAGTATCCCACCCACAGTCACGACCCACTCTGCTGATGTTCCTCACTTCTTTGGAAGTGTTCATACATCTACTGCTTACAAACCACCATGGATGAGGAGACATTCTTCTCCAAGGCATTCACTGCCACCTTCTGTTCCACCAGCTGTCTCAGCAGCATTCAAAGTCGAGCTAATGACTTTAAACAAGCGCTTAGTGGGAGGCAACCCACTGGTAAGTTTTCTTTTTCATATATTATTTTAGTTTACTATTACATAGCTAAAAAAAAACCCAAAAATGAGAAAAAAAAAGAAGTCACTTTGTTCAGTTTGCTTGGATGATGTCTTATGAACTTGTTGGACCATGGATTATGCTTTGTTTGGATGTTTTGATATGTGTTTTGAGTGCTCTTACAGTTTGACTTCGGAGTACACATGATGGCATAGCATTTAAACATCCAACATGTCGATTTCTGGAGTATCAGAGATGGTGACGCTCGTCACCAATCTGGTGACGCTCGTCACTAGCTCCTTCGCGAGGTACCACTTTTCCACCTTGGTTTTACACCTTCTCATGCATCTTTTTGACCAACTCTTGGCTTAATAACACTAGGGACAGTGTTGTTTAAGTCTGGGGGAGGTGGTTACTGACATTGTGTGCTTTGTGTCATGTTTATAGAGTCTTAAAGTTGAGTCAAAAACCTGTTTTATAGAGTCAAAATTTCAGAAACTGTCAGTTTTTCTTGGAACTAACCATAGGACGTTTTTGCTGATAAGAACCATTACCACAGTAGTTGATTACAAGTCTTACTAAGTTGAAAGTCATAGGTAGATCAGTCTAACAATGAAGGTTTAGGTTCTTAGAGAGTCTGAAAAATTTGTTGTTAGCTTTACCTTAATGAACTTTAAACTTTTGTCTTGGTGATTGATTCTTATTGATCTTGATTCTCTTTTTCAGCACTGACAATAAAGTTCAGATACAGTCTCTCTTTGATCTTCCCTGATGTAGTTTTTAAAAAAAAGTTTAAGTCCAAAGAATGGTGCATTCATGACCCTGTCTCCTCACAAGGAACAACAGTAGTGAACACATTCAAGAACCTGTCTCCTCACAAGGAACACAAGTATTGAGTAGCACCATATCTTAGACTGTAAAAGTTGAGAAAAAGAAGTGAAAAATCGAAAATATCCTAAGGTAAGGGAAGAGAAAATAGGAGAGTTGTGTTGAGATCTATTTGTTCAGTTGTTAGGAAGGGAAAAGAATCTATAAAGTGATAAAGATGATAGAGCTTTGATGAGATATCACACTTAGATAAAAATAAGGAGTTAGCAGTTGAAATTTCGGATTTCTTGAAGGGATTTGGACTGGACTTGAGAGATTTGCTAAGCTTGTGATGATTAGGCTGAAATTTGATCTTGTGTTGACTCTGTGGTATGTGGATTCGAAAGTTCAAACCAGTGTGTTGTTCCTGATGACGGACTGACTGTTTCTTGTTTTCAAACCTCGACCTTATTCTTTGTCTGATGTTTGCTTGAGGGCAAGCAAAAGCTAAGTCTGGGGGAGTTGATATAACATGGTTTTTATGGTTTTTGACAATGATATAAGTCCTTTTTATTGAGTCTTTTTTGTCTTTTTAGAGTCCTAGAAGAGTCTTTGCAGGTTATAGCATGCCTGGAGCATTATTGGAGATTTTGGAACCTTTTGGAGCATTCTGGGTTGAAGCCACGAAGTACCAAGCTCGAAGCAGAAAGTATCACATATGGTGACGCTCGTCACCAATCTGGTGACGCTCGTCACCCAGAAAGGAAGGGGTCGTGGCCTGTTTTTAAAAGATTGGGAAGAAATTGCAGTTTTGGCCCAGAAGTTCCAGTTTTTGTAAAAAGGCCACAGATCGTGTTTTAGCTTGTATATTAGGTTTTTCAGCCATTCTTTTGCATATATCTTGTATCTTATTATTTTTGAGAGCTTTAGAAAGAGATTTGTAGCAGAGCTTTTGGAGAGACAAATCAGACTCCTTCAGAGCAGATTTTGAACTCCTTTACTTTCTACTTCTTATTTCTTTTATGCAATCTATTCTTTTCATGATGTTTTCTCAAATCACCATATCTGAGTAGTTTGTTAGTTAAGTTAGGGCTTTTCAAAGGTTGAAGAAGAGTTTGTAGAATTGCTAAAAACTTTTAGAAAATTCATTGGTTCTTCATCTGTGCTTGCATTCATATCGATTTCTTAGACACATCATCTGGATTTCGAAACCCTAGGTTTTTGATATATGTGAGAGCATTATTAATCACCTGAACTAGTATTAGATGAGTAAAATGCCCTAGTACAAAGAGATTTGGCTTAGGAGTTTTGTGAACAATTGAACCTGATCATTACTGCATGTTTAGGTTGTTAGGGTTTGCAAAGAGATTTGAAACTCTGTGATTTAGACATAGATAACTTCTGCAATGAGAATTGATTAGTTATATCTTTGCGATTCATGTTCAAGACGGTTTTAATTCATTCCTGATTGCATGCATTCTACACTCTCGGATTCAACCTGCGAACTGTCCTGACTTAGCGCCTCTAGCCTTCTGAACTTTAAGAACAAGCATAAAAACGCCCTCTTGCATTTATTTTACTGTTTTGCATTACATTCATTATTTATTGCTTAGCTTAATCTGAATCTATAATCGCTAGTGTGGTTTACATACTTCCTTGGGATTCGATAACCCCTTGTACTACAACTGCTTTTGCTGTGCACTTGCAGTAGTTTTATTTGGGTAAAACCTGACCCTATCACCACATCAGTGAGCGGCCAAGAACACAAGCTCCTCAACCGGCCAGGCATTCATCTCATGTAGCTGCTCCAAAGCAAAAAGGAAAGAAGAGAAGTACTAGACAGCAAACTCCATCAGAGGAGGAAGCTTCACCTTCCCATGCCATTGAGAGTTCAGACTCTCAACACTCCTCCACCTGAAGTAAGGTACACCTCACTAACCATTATAAATATCACTCATTTTTATTTTATTTTAAAATTATGGTGATTGTTTGCTTGATGTTTGTGAACACTCTCCTTAGCAATTTTATTACAGATGCACTTAAGTGTGGGGGTGGGTGTATGATGGACTGATGCTTGCATTTACATTTGCATAGTAGAATAGGAACCATGCATCATGATTTCATAGCATCTAAGGCATAGAAAAAACCAAAAAAAAAAATTGAAAAATTTTCAAAAATTGTTTCACAAAATGAGTTTGATTTTCATACATTCTTATAGGATGTAGACTTCATGCATTCGATATATGGCACATGAGACTAGGATATTTGAATGTTCATGGTCTGAGCAAGATCGCCAAGGCAGAAATTGTGAGATGAAATACCCAAACTAAAAGCGCCAATTGGCACAATGTGTGAAGCCTGCAGCAAGGAAAATCAAATAAATGTTCAACACAAACAGCTCAGTGAATCAGAACAAAGAAGATTCTTGAGCTGATACATATGGATTTAATGGGCCTTATACAAACTGAAAGTATTTCTGGAAGTAAGTACATATTTGCACTGGTAGATGATTTCTCGCGGTTCACTTGGTCAGATTCTTAATACAGAAGTCTGGAGCAGTTGAGAGTTTCAAGATCTTAGCTACAACCCAAAATTGAAAAGGGGAACATAGTGCATATCAGAAGTGACCATGAAGGTGAACTTCAGAATACAATGTTTGAAATGTTTAGTAACAGCCAAGAGATCAGGCATTAATACTCAGCTCCTATAACTTCACAACAAAACAGAGTAGTGGAGAGAAAAAATCATACATTATAGAAAATGGCTAGAGTGATGCTTCATGGAAACAAAGTATCAACAAGGTTTTGGGCTGAAGCAATCAACACTGCATGCTCCATCATCAATAGATTGTATGTCAAACCTGGTACAAATTTGACTTTATGTGAAATATGGAAGGGGAAAATACAAAATCTTAGTTATTTTCATATCTTTGGGTGCACCTGCTACATAAAAAGACTCAACTTGGAAAGTTTGATCCAGGAGTGATGTAGGAATCTTCTTAGGATACTTGATAGCTTGCTATTTTAGATCATTTTAGGCTGCATTTCATGCATCTTTTCCTCTGCTTTGCATTATAGTTCAGCATTTAGGTATCATTTGCACTTAGAATCAACATAGCATGCATTTAGCTTAAGATTTCATACATTTGCATACATGTGCATGTTTGTGATGATTCTCAGGTGTTTTTGGAGTTTCTTGGAGCTGGGAAGGGATGGAAGCAGCTCATGATCAAAGCAGATGTCAGAAATAGAGTTCTTGCAAAGTCTGGTCCATATCGAGCAAGCATATCGAGCAGAACACATGTGGAGTATGCTCGATGCAAGCAGCAGGACGAGAGGAGAAGGATCAGCACGAGGATTCCAAGCTGTTGGTCTGCATCGAGGACCAGCATCGAGGAAGAACGTCGATACACGCTGCACGAACCATATCGAGGTCGCACATCGAGCAGAACATCGACCGTACGACCTCGATGCAACTCATCCACGTTGACCATTTGACTTTTGTTAACCTTATCTTATCTTTTTAGGCTTTTTATGCTTCTTTCGGCTCCCTACTATAAAAGAGAAGCCACAAAACATTATCATGATTAAGTCATATTTTATCCAAGTTTAGCTTTCTACTAAAAACCTTTCCAAAATCTTAAAGGGCGATTGCCTTAAAGATCTTAATCTTTAATAAAGTTTGCATTTTTATGGTTTAATCTTGTTTTTTAATCTTTGTTCTTGCATCTTGGTAGCTTTAATTTATCATCTTTTACATTTTAAACTCATCTAGTTATGTTTAACCCCAAATCAATGGGATTAAACATGATTAGTGAGTAGTCTTCCTTAGATTTAGGGTTCTAAGTAAGGAAAGTGGTGATTAAGATGTGATTAAGGGGTGATTAGGCTTGTTTAATGGTTCTCTGTTATCTCATTCTCTTGCAAAGTGATTAATGTT